TATATATATATATATATATATATATATAAACGTAAGTTTAAAAATATCGATCGTCTATAAAACTTTTTTACCTAAAAGTGTGATACGATAAAATTTTGCAAAATAGAAAAAGAAGAAGAAGAATAATGAAAGAGTGATAGAGATAGAGATAGAAATCTATCGTTTTGTTTCAACGAAACAAAATATCGTTATGATATATTATTATATCCATACTGCAAGAAGGATTGTCAACTCGATCATCGTAAAAATTGTTGTTTTTTATTTATTCAGTATTTTCTCTCGTCCAAAATTATAATTCTTAATTATAATTTTAAATATAAACTAAGTTGTTAACTTAATTAGTTAAATTAAGTTCTACTTCTTTTCATGTCCAAGCTCCCTATGAACCTTTATCATCAAGTTGTTTTTTATTTTTTTCTCTCTTTTCGTAAAAGGATACCTAATATATTTTACGCGTAAATATATTTATGTCCAAGCTCGACAACCTCTTCAACGAACAACAAGATATCTTTTCTCTCTTTCTCTTACACGACGAATATCGATCCATCTATATTTCTGGCCTGCGTAAAAGCACTCGACAAAATACATCCCTATCTATATATATATATATTTCTATTACAGAGGAAAGAATCACGAAGGTCGAAGAACGACGATTGGAAGAGTCCGCGCGTTAACTAAGCGCGAAAAATTTGAAATGGTATGTCTTTTTCTTCTTACTCTTATTCTTGTTCTTCTTCTTCTTCTTACCTAACCTCGATTAGGAACTACGAACAAACTATGAAAATGTATAAGAGAAGGACCCCAAAGGAAAACCTTGGCCCGATTCGTGTTCTCCGTTATGAGACGAACATGCGAAAGAAAGAGTGAAATAGAGAATCACTATGCTATGATGTGATATTTAAGCAGAACGTGCTTTTCATCGATCGACGAACTACCACCACCAACGAGAAGTATCTTAAGATAATATCTTTGTTAGAGCGTCAGGATAGTTTGACCGACAATGATCGCACGCGATCGTTTAGGTATTCTCTACCATGTTCGATCGATACACATACGTATACACATATATATATATACATATCTATAAGGGTGGAAAAAAGATGAAAAAAAGAAAAAGGCAAATTAATCGCAATATTAACAGAAAAGTACAACAACCTGGCAAGGGCAAGGGTCTGAATCGTTTCAAGGTCGAAATAAAAAAAAATCGAACTGACCGTTTCTAAAATAAAAAAATGTCACACCACGTGGTACGTATGTCTATGCTAGGACGTGCTGTGAATAATGGCAATGGATGGGGCTAGTCGTGTAATAGTAATGAATATGTATGCACATGATCAACTGCAAGGAGATATAGTTTTCTCTATACACGCATAATATTCCCTTTTCCCCTGCATTAACAATACTAATTCTAATGCTACATATATATATATATATGTGTATAATTATTCTATACCGTGTCATCATTCTATCATTCGTTTGCACCAATATCCTAATAGAAATTGATTTATCATTTTTTTTCAATATGCTAATGCACTTCATTAAAATACCATCGATACGCGATTCGCATAAAATATTATTAGATATATTATCTATTGTATTTCGAAATATAAGACTTATAGAACATTATATATATATATATAATATAGAATTAAAACGAATATTGTTTTATATATTACGACGCGAAGTTATTATTTTCGAATTCGCGCTTAATGGAATATAAAAAGCCGATTAAAGATATTTTTATTGAAACACAAAAAAATATCTAAATAAAATAATATTAATTTTATTACACGACGCGAAGGGGTATATAAAATACGAATGATCTACGTTCCTATCTGATAAAATTTCGAACGTATCATCAGAGGGGGGGGG